ATACAAACTGAAGAATTTATTTTTGAGTTATTATGCAATCACCTCTATATATATTATCCAAACACAAATCGTAACAAAAATATTTTTTGTAATAAAATTAAAATGTTATAGTAGGTGTTTGACTTTTAGTGTAGAATTTGGTATTTTTCTGGTTCTAAGATGGCAACCCCCCTCCCCAAAGGAGTATTTCTGGGCAGTAAGGAGAAGGACTTCTGGTGGCAATGGTCAGGGGATGGCACTTCTGGTTCCAAGATGGCAACAAGGGGGCAGGGCAACTGTCAAGGGGTGGGGCTACTTATGAAGGTCACCAAAACTCATTAAGCAGCCCTCCACCTGAAATAATTGCCCACCCCTGGTCTACACCCTTCATAATTTTATACACCTCTATCATATCCCCCTCATCCATCTCCTTGCCAAACTGAAGAGCCTTAGCCTTTTTAATCTCTCCTGGCTATTTGACTGCTCCATCTCTGTGATTATCTTGGCTGCCCTTCTCTGCACTTTTTCTAATTCTATTACACACTTTTTGAAATGGGGAGACCAGAACTGAACACAGTATTCAAGATGTGGGTACACCATGTATTTGTATAGTGGCATGATGTTGTCATCCATTTTCATAAATTTCATAGACATTAGGGCTGGAAGGGACCTCGGGAGATCATCGAGTCCAGCCCCCTGCTCCAAGGGCAGGAAGTCACTTCTTGTAATGATGCCCAACATTTGTCTTTTTTGGTTGCTGCTGAATATTCAGCTGACATTTTGAGGGATCTAGAAGGACTCCAAGGCCTCTTTCCTGAGTCATAACAGCTAGTTCAGATCGCAGCACTGAATGTGTCTAATTGATTTTTTTCCCCTATGCACATTATATTGCATTTGTCAACACTAAAGTTCACCTGACATTTTTTTTTGCCCACTCATTTCGCTTGGCAAGATCTTTCTTCTACAGTTCCTCTTCATCATTTTGGGATTTGAAAACCCAGAATAATTTAGTATCATCTGCAAACTTGAAGACTTTACTGTGTACCACCATTTCCAGGTCATTGAGGAAAATGCTGAACAAAATACTGGTCCCAGCACAGTTCTTTGTGGGAACCCACTTCTAACCTCCTGCTTTCCTGAACAGTGGCCATTTAACTCTACCCTTTGCTTCTTGTCTTTTAACTAGCTCTCAATCTAAAGTACTAGAAGGGGTGCGTGATCTGCAATTTCCCTCTATTTTGAAGCTGTCTGTAGAATAAAAGCTTGAAAAATACATCAGCAGATTATTGAATTTTGTGCCTTGCTTAGCTACTGTTGGATGCTGAATTATCCAATCTGAGGAAGCACCCAGTACAGAAGCTCAATAGCCTAATGTACCCTAGTAGAAAAATAGTGCCATATATATTTTTTCAATAAAGCATTTTAAAAAGCATCAGTAGGGCAAGACTGCTCCCCTACTCCACAAGTTAGGACAGGAAAACTGTGACCTCCTCCTTCCCCTGTAAAAATTGGGAGAGATGTGTATACTTTTTATATGAAATGTTCCCACCCAAATGCGGCAATGAGAAAGAAATAGGGTTCCAAAATAGTTTTCAAAAACTAACAAAACAAAAAGACAACACTCCCCAATCTTTTTAAATGCCTGTGATTTTTAAGCCAACCCTATTATTTTGTTTTGTTCTAGTCATCAGTGTTTTAAGACAAAGAAACAGAAAGGAAAACCATAGGAGAAAGCCATGAGAAACAACCTCTAACCCAAATACAAGAAAAACATGTGTTTGTAATACAAAATGACTTATGTCATACCTTCTCTCTCTCTGCTGCTCAGAACCAGTCCGAGAAGCTGTTAAAAAAGAGCAAAAAATAAGAGTTAATATGGACACTTACGGCTACAAAATGAAGAAACCAATAGCAAAATGCTTACCAAAGCCATCATAAAAATAACTGATTATGGATCGAATGTAATCATAAACTAGACATTCTAAAAGTGGCCATAGATAAATAAAAATTATTTGTATTAAAAGGAAAAGTTTCCAATAGCTGAAGCCACTCTTCAGCAATGTTTACATTAACTCAAAACACATTGGGCTTTAATAATCTCTTAGGGCATGATGTGTGACTCCAAAAACAACTTGCAGGGAGAAACCTCCAAAACTGTTCTATCACAATATTAAACACACATCATTAAGCTTAAAACAACAAAAAGGCTATAAAACTAACAAAAGTAAATGGATATTCAGGGACATACTTTTATGGCTTTCTTATTTTTCAGATATTTATGAATTAAGAACAGCATGACAAATCTTAACTTTGTCCTACTTGGCTTTTGTCAGTTTCTTTCCTAGGCTTAATGTTTTTTTAACTTACTTTAAAACAACAAATACAATGTTTTTTAATTTTTGGTGTTTTGGACTAATGGTGGGGGATTAAAAAGATACAAGTTATTTTACCTGATGAGCTATTTCGGTTTGTTGGGTGTACTAGACATCTGTTTAATATTTCTTATTAAAAAGTTACTCTGCTTATTCAATGTCTACTTTTCGGAGCATACATTTTTAAGTATTTAATTCATCAAATTTAAAGAAAAAAACTTGACCATTCAGTGGCTAAGTTAGGTAACTTCCATTTTTACATCCACTGCATTTTGAATTCCACAACATAATTAAATCTCCATTTTATCATAAACACAAAATCTGCTTTTTATCATATCTATATTCAAATAATTTTTAATGGCCACTTTAGCTTTATTTAATTTGATTTAGTGGAATAAAAAAGAAGATGAGAAGATAGCGTCTGGAGAAATCTTTGCATAACAAGCATTATTCAGGAAGATGGGAGGAATTATTGTGCTAAAGCTGACAACTGCCCACAGATTCATAGTTGCAATCACTACTTGGAAAAGATGGCACAGCTGGGTCACAAACATACCTCTTCCACGCAGCATTTTTGATGTGCACTATTCATGAGTGCTAAAGGAAAAAAAGAAGGAGTTACAGCAGAAGAAGAGAGTGAAGGAAGAAAAATAACTAACCAAGTTCCTGATATGCCAGTAGCCAAGATCAGCTGGGTGTGCATTGTTAGTCATACAAGGATAGTGCAGACTCTAGTTTAGCAAAGGAACAGTCAAATTACAGTTTGTTTAAAAAAAAAATCAAACCTAATGGAACTAGACTTCATATCTAGTACTGGAGCAAACAACAGGAGATTACATATTGCCCTGAAGAAGGAAAGGACAACTGTATTACCTTTTCTGTTTTCAACTGAAAAAGCAGTCCAATTTGAAATGTTTCATGATCTTTTTAAGGAAAATCTTTCACGTCCCAAGTCAAATCATCCAAATCAATTCCAAATCCATGAGTCATTCGAGAACCAAATATGGTCGTACTACTGGCAAACGTCCTCCACTCCCGCCTGGGGCTTCAGACTCTTTCAAATCCATTGGCAGACATCCTACATGCAGGCCCAAGGCTGAAAGCTTGGGGTTTGGATGCTCCCGAGTTTGGCTTGCCCTTGGCCAGATGGCCACGGGAGGAAGTTAGGGAGAAGTCTCCCATTTCCATAAAGTTGGCGTGTAGCCAAGATCTTCTCACTGGAAGCTGGCCAGTGGGAAGCTAACTACGAGGCTCACATAGGGAGTCCTGTCTGCAAGCAGACAAGGGTGCACCCCTCCACTACTCAGTACCATTTTAACTGCATTACCTCATCAGGGTATTTCCATCATTGTGATCATGGCATTTCCCCTGCCAGGTAATTATCTGAATGTATATATTAATATTTAGAAAGTGCTTTAGTGCCTAGACTGCCTTGTCTTCTTTCTTTAATCAACACATGCAATACAAGATTTGCATACTGGGGGAGAGGGGGGAGAAGTGGAAGCCTGACCCACCTCCTAAAAAGCTGGATCAAATTCTTAGGTAATTTGCAACCCTTCTCATTCCCAGTAAGAGAACTACCCTGAGCATCTTGTCCTTTACTTACACAGGCAACAAAAACACATTCCCCTTCTTAGATTTATCATCCAACCAGAACAGAGAGACCTTTCTCTTCAACCCATCACCAAACAGGCTGAACATCTGACCCTGACACGCTCCCAACTGGCTACTTACAAAGTCAAGGCCTAATAGTCAAAGTCCTCCCTGAGATCCACCTCAGCTTCCTGAGTGACAACTTCTCCCTGTCGAACCAAGAATCCACCTGAAATGAGACCAGCAACCAAAAGGGGAGGATCCCAAATGAAGGAGACAGATCTCTGATGACATCTGCAGCTAACAAAAAAAAGGAGGACCAGATATCTCAGACCATTCTAGAGCAAATTAAACTCTTTCAAAAGATCTCACAAATTGAGGTAACCCCACCCACTCAATAAAAAGCACCACCTCTTCAAGTTTACTCTATTATGCAAAGGAGGAAGAGACTGGCAATTCTGTGTTAATCTTAATTACTTGGGAGCGCTGCAGATTTTACAGTGATAAAGACGATAATACATTTTTGGAGTTGAACAGATGTTAATGAAAATGAAATTCGTTTTTTCTAAGTGTCTCAACTTTCAGTCTTATAACTCTTGTGAATTCATTATTTTGATATTTTAGAAGCAACCAGAGACATCTAGGGTAGACAAGACTTGGGTTTCTAACAGAAAAACCTAACAGGATTTTTTAACAACAAAGAATTTATTTCAGGTCTCTCAGACCAGCCTTATAGTAGGAAAATGGCACAAGTTTTTCCTTTGTGGGGCACCTTTAAGAGTGCCCTTCTATTTTTGTCCTCACATATTCAATTTGCACATTACAAATGTTGGCATTTTTACGTTCAAAATAGCATGCTTTTCATCGGGAAATAAATGAGAACATAATTCTTTCCACCCCATGTTGCATATTTCCAGGTAAAATGTTTGCCTCCTTTATTTCAGCTCAGCCATCCACTACTACAGAAGTGATGACATGTCCATGGATATATATTTAGAACTAGAAGACAAATAAAAACTTGATACATTGTGGTTAGTGGAGAAAAATGAGTAGTCCTTTGTCCACTCTCACTTCATTACTCTTAAGAAAAACAAGGTTATGTTTTACCTGGAACAGCAACAGGTGCAAGTGTGTGTTCTTATATTTTTTAAATATTAATTCTGAACCAAAAAAGTAAAATCTACAGCTCACAGGTTTCTTTTTTGAAACCAGAATTTTTAAATAGCTTTCAATTCTATGTGCTGTGGTAAAATGGCATTCTGTTCTGGCAGGCTAAAAAAATACTTTGGTTTTAATTTCTGGATTTCTTCATCCTGTTCTTTCCCCTTTAGAGACTGTATTGTTCTAACAGAGTTCAGTTTTGTTCCTTTTAAGTATGAGATACATAAGGAACATATCTGGATTATGTAGATAACATTTTTGTGGATAAGGGGGAAGGAAAGCTATATAGATACGTTTTACACTAGGGCCTAAGCAATCACACTGCAAAATTTCTAGCCTGTATGACAGAACATCAAGTAGTAAATCAGGTCTGACAAGCACTTTAGATCTTGAAACCAGTCAGGGTCAGCATGTAAAGCTCTTTAGGGAAGAACCACATCTACCTCTAAATTTGTTCAGAGCTCTACTCAGATTTTCCATCCAGCTGGAGCACTGAGCACTTCCACAGTATAAACACTGCATTCCCACTAACTTGCAATTTGTTTCTGTTCCACTGCTAAATCAATATGAAACTATGAATTGGCTTTAGCAACCCCACGGTCTTTACGAATTATTTTATTTTTTAATTAGAGATTGGAAATTTGCACACAAACATTACCAAACTGGTGGGAAGTATAGGCCCAAAACACAGCTCAGGTTTATGTTTTTCACCTTGTTCAGTCCTAACAAATAGTTGCAGTAGATTTGTTCGGTCAATTAAATCCTTCAGAAACCTCACATAAATGTGATGCTAATGGATTTTAAAGTAACATTAATCGTTTTTAACAACAAAATTAATCGTTTTAAACAACAAGGATGAGGGCTAATATTTCAACCTGTAGTTTCATGAAACGCTCTCACCAATATGTCAGATATTCCTGCCATCAAATCCTGTTTTTTTAAATGCAGTACACTGGATTTACTAAGAAATTACTCTTGTCACTGGATATCAGCCTATGGACTTCATCACTGTAGTATTCAAGTACCTCTGGAGTAAATTGGGGGAGTCAATAGAATATATGTGTGAGACGGAGCAGCTTGTGGTTCATGTAATTCTGAATTTATACTGTGCCTGGGAGAACAGCTTATGATGGGAAATCCAGGTTGCAAAGATACTTAGTATGCACTAAACTAAACAAGAGAGAGTAGCACTGATTTCACAAAATGTCTTACTGGACAATTTTTGTAAAGCTAGAGGTCGGGGTAATTGGAAACTTTATTGTTGCAGAGTACTTTAGAATCTGAGGGCTGAAGCTGGTTTTCTGAAGAAATGAGCTTCATTACTGCAAAGCAAAGCACTGTATGCAACCCTAGGGAACAAAAGAACCAACTTTGGTTAAGTCTAGCATTTATATTAACTGACGCTGAACTGTAATTGTGTGTCTATGAAAGACAGACAGTAGAAAGCTAGATATTTGTAGGTGCAATCTTGACATACCATATTTACTCAAATAGAAGACAATCTTGATTATACGACAACCATCCAATAAACAGACTCTATATATGGAAAATTTATACATGTTATAATTTTCCAAGTATAGAATCTAATTATTGGAGGTTCACCTTAAATTTGTACTCCCCCTCCCACTCCCCGTATAGCAGCAAAAATAAATTTGAAGGGTCAAGTAGTCCCTTGGCTTTCTACTTCTCTCCAACTTTTTCCCCTGAAAGTCCCTTC